GTAGATAATGTCAAGACGGAATTTTGGCCACCGGAACGGGTTCAATACGAGCCAAGATCTTAAAGTTATGAATTTTTTAGCGCGTAAAAACTGCACTTTCAGCACACTTTTTCACTATATTTCTTCAAGAAAACTCACACATTCGGATACCTTCTTTAAAGAATTGACTCTTGAGCCGAACCTGAATTTGAGAATATGTTATCAGAGATATCTTGGCGAAAGAACACCTGAACATAACGCGCCGGGTTGGACTTGTGAATTTTCTTGAAATGTTTTGAGAAATATGGGAGGGCAAATTTTGGGGTACAACAGGAACTTTTCTTGAATCAAAATGCATCATGATGAAAAAGTGGTGAAAAGTTGAGAAAAAATAAGAAAATTTTTATACTTAGAAAAATTCTAAGTTATGAAAATTTTCAAATTAAAACCCTAATTTTCAAATTTAGTTTTCTTGGTCAACAAGTTTCACATTTTGACATATCTTGATGAATTATGACCCTTGGCGCTTGATTTTGACCAAAGAGTCAAAGTTTGAGTTTTCAGTATACAGTTGACTTTTGATCAGTTGACTGCAAATTTCATTTGTCAATCCAATGAACTTTAGAACTTTTGAACCATGTAATTAGGTAAATATGATACCATTGAACTCTTGAAATCATGTTTGAACTCAATTGGTCATTGGCTAGGTTAAAAATCAGAAATTGCCCTTTCTCAGTCAAAACCCTAATTTTGACCATTGTGCCCTTTTGATGATTTGATCAAATTTCTTGAGGAGTTGTGAGCCAACCTTGATCAAATGGTTCATATGAGTCTAAAATGTTGATGTGGATCAAAAATTATGAAGTTTGACTGTAAACTGGCCATGGTTGACTTTTTCCCCAATACAGTTGATTTTTAGGTCAACTGTCCAATTGACCGATCAAAAATGTGGTTCAAGGCTTGAAACTTAACATGAGCAATCTTAGGGGTCCAAAATGATGTATGAAAGTCACATGAAGCATTGGTGGTCCAAAAATCCTTGTGAAAACTCAAACCCTAATTTTGGATTATTAGTGCAAGATGAGATGTCTTGAGCTGACCAAACCCTAATCTTGTCTTGAGTCCAAGAAGTCTTGTGAGAAAAGTCTTGATAAATGAGAGGGGAAATTTTAGGGTACAACACACATCATATACCATCATAAGGACTAACACAAAGCACCAAAATATCATATATATATATATATATATATATATATATATATATATATATATATATATATATATATATATATATATATATATATATATATATATATATATATATATATATACCAAATAATTTGCAGAGACTCATATATCAGCTAAATTAATTAAATAAATAATTAATATGGAATTCGGGGTGTTACATGGTTGAGCTAGATAGTGGTGAACGGATGTGTGTACATAATGTCGAAGGAGCTCCATTGGTTGACTAGGATGCGACAAACATCGAAGTTTGTCATTGTTTACCTCGCCGATAGAGGGATGTTGGAGTTGGGGGACCCGCCTGGAAGCTCCTCGGGATAGAATGTGATGGGGTTAGAATTTCCCCGAAACTTGCTGAGAGTTGTGTTCTGAGCCAAACTCGTGTCGATCAACTCTTTAAACTTTCTCTTCACCGACCTAACGGTGATCTTGTTAAATCCTTCGCCAGATATGACCATGGTCGAGGGAAACTTTTCCCAAGTGCTATGGGTAGACAACGACATATCGACCTTATCAGGGACGTAGAAGTCCTCAGGCCGAGAGATGCACAGGGCGACATATAGGTTGACGACGTCGTCAGAGGGTGTTGTTTCCTCCTCGACCTTCCTACTATCACGGATGTCTTATCGGGGAGCCTCTCTCTTCTTAGTGTATTATCTCAGACGACCCTCTTTGATGAAGGTTTCGATTGCATCTTTGAGGTGGATGAAGTCTTCAATGACATGGCCGTGACTCCTGTGGAGACGACAATACTTGGTTTTTTCGACGTTCACCTTAAGGGGTGTAGGCATGGGGAGCCGAACCCCACACTGTTTAAATTCAGAGTTGATACACTCGGTCAAGATATGTTCGTGGGAAGCGGTGAGCAGAGTGTACTCAGTAAAATGGCCATGTCGTGGAGCTTTTCTTCTCTTTTTTTCTCCCCACCTTTTCGAGGAGCTACCGCGTCGTCATACTTAGAGACTTTGGCGCTTTCCTGATTCCTCGAGTCTCGAGCATTGGTAGCAGCCTCTTTCTCCTCGTATTGGATGTAGGATTGAACCTTATGGAGAAGTTCGTCTAGCGAACGGGGCGTCTCGATGCCAACTCCCTTTCTGAAATCGCTATCAGGATGTAACCCTTTTCCGAGCAGGTATCTTTTCATGCGGTCAGTCATGGGAACTTGAATAGCTTCTCGATTGAACTGCTCAATGTAAGCTCTGGGAGGCTCATCGTTCCCCTAGATGATCACCTCGAGCGACGCTTCAGATTTCGGGTGTTGTCGAGAGGCAGTGAAATGTCTGGTGAACTGTCTTCAGATCCCTCCAGGAAGTGATAGATTCTGGAGCAAAGCTCTTGTACCATAAAATGACACATTTCCTCAAGGTCGTGGGGAACAACATGCACTTTATGGCGCCCCTGATATTGCGATATTCGAGCATGGCATCAATTCTCTCAATATGATCATCAGACTCTTCGACTTGTCTGGCCTCCTGCCAGCCTTGTTCCTCTTGGGAATACGGGATCGTCACTCTCTGCACGGTGGAGTGCGATCACGCTTCTTGACAACTGTAGGTTATTGTTGTAACACCCTTCTAAACCCACATATAATTCACATATATTTTACGAAAATAATTCAAATAAAACCACCAACAAAGATGTTACATCTTCGTATAAACATCATATAAAACATCCGGCTTCGTAACACGGGTTTTCAAAATCAATTATAACAAATACTTCATGAATAACAACAATGACATTTCAACTACTCGCAGTGGAATTCATAGTTTCAAAGCACTTTTATTAAAATACTTCATAGAATCTTCATCACACTTCATCATTCATAATTCATAATTCATAATTCAAATAACATAAAACCATGAAAGGTAGTTCAAATCTCAAGATAACTAAAAGAACATAACTAATCCAATCAAACGATCTCAACTCCGATGTTACATATCAGAGTAAGACCCACTTTATTCAACAGGAAATAAATAACGAACTCTGAAGCTATCCTCTAAGCTTCAATGAACTATTCTTGATCACCTGCAAGTTACCTACGTATAAAGGCAATATTTTCAAGCAAAAATGGTGAGTAATCACAAATTATTATAAAAGATATATGGAATGGATATAATAGTACAACAACAATTTATCAGAAATTATACATATCATCATACTTCATATATTATACTCACACTTTCGCATCATCAATACACATTGATTATATCATTATATCATCACATCAACATCTATTGGACCGTTGTAGGCGCGAAGGTGATTAGGATCCAATCCAGAACAATTATTTATTTATTTATTTATTTATAACAAAATAACAAACAAATAAATAAATAAGAAAATTCGAATTGAAGTAGTAACTGCGGCAGAAAACCACGATAAAACTATACAGTGTGGAAACCACGAACAACAACACATGACAAAAATCACCGAGAACAGCAGAACCGAATCGTCAAAATCACTGAAATAGAATTACAATCGCAACCAATCAAATTGGAATCTAGTGTGATAGACACCGAATCAAGATCGTGAAACAACAACAATAACGAAATCACGAGAAATCACAAGATGGCAACCAAAAAGTGACAACCAGCAATCACTGAAGGAAACCGAAGCAAAGAAAGCTCATAATTACAAGCAGCTACAAGGTTTCGATTTCCAAATAAACAATTTCGAAACAAAAATGAGAAGAACATAATTTAAAGAGCGACCAAGTGGAGTGTCACTATTCAGCCAAGAAAACAAAACACGGTTTCACAGGTTTGATCGGACACCTACTTATACCATGTGAGAAATTATGGCTTGATCATTTCTTTATTGTATTGCTTCTATATATAATAGTATAAACATTTACAACTATTGATTACAAATATTCTATGTCTGATTTCTAATCAGTTCTAAGAATAGAAATATATATAATTAAGGAGAACTAAATTATTCCCTAATTAACATTTATTACCATAAAAAAACTATCATCAAACCTAACATGTGTCTCCGCATCAAGTCTAACTCGCCCTTGGAATGTCATGAGCATGAACACACATGTTCTCTAAAAACTTTTATTCAAGTCTCACTCTCCCTTGGTAAGAAAAAACTTGTGTAACCGTACCATACTCTTGCTTGAATAAAAAACATTTTATCTTCTGCCTCTACCCTGCATAACTCAACTATGTAAATTTCTCTTACTCGGAATCATACATAACTCTTTTATATTCACCACTTTTCTTTAAACGTAGGGAGTGTATTCAAATTACTTTACTCTTATAGATCAGGATACTTATACCACACGAGTCATTACATCTATATCTGCAATATTAACACTATACCACACGAGTAATTACATTTATATCTGCAATATTAACACTATACCACACGAGTCATTACATCTATATCTGCAATATAAACATTATACCTCAGGAGCCATTACACCTATCTCTGCAATATTAACACTATACCACATGAGTCATTACATCTATATCTGCAATATTAACACTATACCTCAGGAGTCATTACACCTATCTGCAATATTAACACTATACCGCAGGAGTCATTGCACCTATCTGCAATATTAACACTATACTACAGGAGTCATTGCATCTATCTGCAACAGAAGTCTACAACAATTTCAGCTAATGTTGTAAGCTAAATCTGTTTCTTCAAATGCAGAAATCATACCCAGCAAAAGATCATTACACAGCTCAAGCAAAATGCACAAGTCAAATTCTTAAACATGAGGTTCAAAAGTTGAAGACTTGTTATCAATAGTCTGATCTTGACTTCTAAGGGAGACGGAGGGTGAGATGAAGAATTGCCATCATTTGGATGTTGTATTTGGCCAGGGACTGGTGGTCATCATCTAGTTGCTGATTCTGAAAGTACAGACATTGCTTGTGTACTGGGAAACGCAAATGCCAATACATTAATCAATGATAAAATCCATAGAAAGAAGACAACAACCCCTTGCAATCTTTATTACAGCTAACTAAGTCAAACGAAACTCATGATCAAATGAATAAGAGAATTTGATTGTGATATTTCAAAAAGTGGTCCAAACATGTATAAATTCAAAAGGTAAGAGAAAATTAACAAGAATGAAAATGGAAAAACTACCAACCCAATGGAATCAGAAGGAACGCTGATGATTGAGTTGCTAAAGTAGCCTGTTGGACATTCTTAGGAAAAGAATGTAACTTCAGCATGCCAAACTTAGACTTAGCCGATATATCATAACTATATCCAGCATCAGAAGAAGAGTTAGGATCAATGCAGCTAATATTGACTGCATTTCCTATACTCGTGATAGTACTATTATTGAGAGTGTATAGTCTGCCATCATTTTCCTCTTGGAGAACCACGGTTACGTCACTAGACTTCAAGAAGACAATGAAGGGGTGACCATAAGAAAATTCGATTAAAGAATCAGAGTGTTCATGGTTGAAATGGTTCGACAACACTTCTATTGAGGCAACCAAATCACAACCTGAAAGGGGACAGTAACATGGCACATAGATGCATTCTTCTCCATGCTTCCTCTTTCCACTGTAACGAATTGTCTCCCTGCAACCGTATTTTTCATTGGGACATGGCAACTTCTATTTTGATCGAAAACCCTAACTAAGTAGAGTTTCACATTATAATCACCAGAAACACGATGCATGTATGAAAACAAGTTAACTATTCTCCAAGAAAAAGAAAAAGATTGAAACGTTAACCTGAAAAACGGGAATGGTCAAGAGTTGAAGACAAATGCAACAATCAAATGCGCGTGAGTTCTTCATACTAACTTCTTTTGTGGAATCGACGCTCTCTTCAGACTCTTCGTTGCATGGCTCCATTGCACGGTTAGACTAATAGTGAATCAGTGATCAAACATGTTACAACATTAATCTATTATCGAAAATCAGAGAAAGATGAAGAACTAACAAGATTTAACAGAAAACTCACTCACCAAGATAGCTTGAGAGGGATTGAGGCTTTTGGTCTTCCAAGAGTCCAATGTTTCTTTCATTCGTCTTGAACTCCTTTTATAGGCACGCACGCATGTTGAAAAAGATGTAGTTGTGTCTTTTTTTTCCAACTATATTCGCTTGCTTTCGTTGATGAATGGCACGTATATATTAGAAATTTAAAAAATATACAATTACAGTTTTTTTAAAGTTCATTTTTAACATTAAAAATGGAGCTGAAAATTTCGTGATGAAATAGAACAATTTTTTCATTTTGTCTCAATCAAAAATACTATAAAAAAAAATGATCCAATAGAATGAAATGTATTCCATCATATTTAATTGTATTACATCTTTTTAACTGATTCAAATAATGAAACATAAATTTATATCATTTCCATTTTATCTCCTTTCTATTCCATTCCATCTATCTAAACAATGTGATGGATTGAATAAATACCAAGATAACACAATAGAACTAACTAAAAATAAATTATTCATTAGAATTGTGTTAAGCTTAATTCAATTGGTAGTTGTGCATAAATATTCGACTCCATAAGCATGGTTCAAACACGTGACAATTTTATTTACTTTTAGAAAGTAAAACTCTAGTTATTAGACTTATAAACAAATAAGAAATTATGTTTATCAGAGATGCTCTGTCAATCACAATAAGTATTATATGAAAACTTTTTATTTACTTAAGTTATTAAGTGGAAGAGGTATTATGTTTCTCAATATTTTCCTTCATTATTATGGACAAGAATAAAACTCTCCATATACTACAAAGATAATCCTAAAACATAAGACACTGATAAAAAATAGTAAAACAATTATTAAGTTAGTTTGATATAGAACAACTTGAGCACAAAATCTTACAAGATCAACCTCCCTGTTGACACCTTTTATGAAATTTTAGTGTTCATGGCCTTGTAGTAATTAAAAAACTTATCTTCTATGATAAAACACTGCATTCCTATCATCAAAAGTCATAACACTACATTGATATCAATGAACTTTTAAATTCTTAAAAAAAAAAACTATTCATATATCAGCAAAAAAGTTAAATTATTGTTGCATAAGGTTAGCTTTCATATTTCACTTTTTTCCCAGTAAAATCATATCCCTCACATGAAAGGAAAAACCTTAATTGCATTACAAGCAATCAATTATCTCATGAAAGAATCCAATATTCCATTGCAATAAGAGATACAATCAACAAGGACTTTCTTAAACCTGAGCCTCCATAACACAGCTAATTTCCATCTGTCCATTGACCTTTTCACTCTTTTCGATAAAAATACATCACTAAAACTATGCGGGTCCGATATACTATGAGCTTCTAAGAAGTTATATAATTCATTCTTGGAAGACATAAGTTTTGCAATCTCCATGAATGTTAAAAAGTTTTGATTACTATCCAATGCATTCACGAGTATGGTGTCGTCTTCAATAGATGTTGGCAAGTTCTTTAAGACAGTGTCACACGTTTTCGACAACCATTTCATAACGATAATTTCATTGGCGGTAGACAGTTGGGAACCAGAGTACGCAAGATGACCGACAGACCTTCTCTTAGTATGAGGGGTTGCCCACAAACGTAACGCAGCTAGTAGCGCAAATGAAGGCTTCCCGTTATGATGGATATATAGTGACTCCTTAGACCATGAAGTAGAAGTGTACATAGCAGGTTCCAAAGGGATGAAAATTTTGTCATTTGAATTTTCTTGCAAGAGAAATCCATAGTGTTCAAGAAGCTCCAAATTTGTGTATGTTCCATAGCATAATAGAACCTGGTGAAAACAAGGTCATTTGTGTCATGACCTATCTTCTGAACAATGAAATGAAAATAAGAATATCAAATCCTTCAATTTTAGCTCGGACATACAATGTACACGATATGTTACAATCACTGATAAAAGGAAATCGGTTATATTCACATTCCAAATTGGTTATGCATACCTAATGGTTATGGTAAAATTTTCAAGAATTGTGTACTACCTGATCGCCTTTCCTGTAATTTGCCCTAGCATATAGGCAATATGCATTAGCATCTTCCTCAAACCCGCCGTCTGTTAGTCTCTGAGAATGAAAATCAATCTGCTCTTCGTCTGCCACTATGTCCTCAATACCAGATAGGTCCTCTCCAGGCGCATCATAATTAAACAAGTCGCCGATAGGACACAAACAACCAGCTTCATCCCATGGTATATGCAAAGTCCGGGAAGATATCTGTTTTTTGAGAGTTTATATGTGATTAAATAAATGATAGAGCAAGAGTGTGAGTTCTGATTTATCTATGATAACTAAAATATCTATAAAACATAACATGTAATGTGCATGAAGATGCATCTAATGTACTAAGCAAAAAAAAAAAGTTTCTAACTGTTGACGCAGCCCAAACCCAAGCCTTAAATGTTAAAAGCTGGGGCTTAAACATGAGATCTTCCATCAAAGCATGAGCTTCTTTCCATTCTGATTTGGCTTTTTGTACAGCTTTTTCTGTGACCCAAATAGCTTCATCCACCTGAAAACCACAACATCAAGATGATTTATTTATGATGTAAAGTAAGTATCAAATGCAGATAAATATCATCAGCCAAGACACTATAATCTAACCTAATGAGAAAAACTAAAAATTTCTAACAGAAACTGAACTTGCAGTGCTTGTTTCTCAAATTCACCAAACATGGCTAGCAAGTCGTAACTTTGTGGTAAATGCACGAGGTAAGGATGCCACAATGAAGTCTTCCCTTTACCGACTTCGTATAACAAGCAAACAGTCAATATCTGCAATATAAACAAGCTTGGAAATAAGTATAAAAATAATAGACAGACTATATTGTTAGAAAGTTCAAAGTCGTACCAAAATACAATTTATTTGTAGAAACTGACTTTTATTAATGGTAGAACAGGCTAAAAACAGAAACAGTATTACACACTCTAAAAATGCATAACTCACACATAAACTAAGGAAAGAGTTGCTACAGAACAATTCCTATCCAAGATATTCAAGAGCTTGGTCTCTCTCTCCCTTCCAAGAATTCAGGAGCTTAGTCTCTTCTTCTCACAACCACTCAATAACTATCCCCTCACTGCTTTCTCATTTCCTTTATCTAAAAATAAACAACATAGCTTACATAAAAAACATAACTGCCCATAATCACCCATAATAAGAAGTATAACACAATGCTTAATAATTACACAACAATAGTTATAGTTATAAAACCAAATCCTAACAGGTGGACTCAACTGCCTAGTTCAACCGTGCACTCAATAAATCTAACCAAAAAAATTTGAAAATTGGGTTTGCTCAATAACCAATAGAAGGTAATAAACACTTGAGGTGTTACCTCAGTGATAAGAGTTATGCCTTGTAACCTCAAGGAACTGAGTTAGAATCCCTTTGGAAACAGTAGTAAATGGCCATTGGGGCCATTTACAAAAATCCTCCCTTTTCCCAAATTAAGAAAAGAAGAAAAAGAAGGTAATAACACCTAAGAGTATCTCATTGATTTAGTCTCTAAAATTGTAGGCTTCAAGCAATTTGGTTTCTGAAATGATCCCTAAATTAAGAATCATCAACCACGTTGGACTCATTTTATAATATTAGGAACCAAATCGTCTGACTCCTACAATTTCAAGAACTGAAATGGTGATTCACGCAAAAACTATTGTCTTTATCCATTTTCACAAGTTAATTAAATTGCAGGACCGTATTAGCTTCGTCCTTCAAAAATGTTATCTAGACTTGTAAAACGTTAAGCAAGTTTGTCTCTTGATCTAAATATGTTATCAAATGTATCCATGAGATTATTCACTTAGTTTCAAATGCACCTCTGACATTACCAACTTAACGCTAATATAGTCTCTACGAATAACGTTAGAGGGACAAATCTACTTATTTACTTGACATCATGTGATTTCAGAGATCAAATTGAGTAATTACAATGTAGGAAAAACAGTTACAACTATGTAAACAAAACCATTAACAGAACTGCCTCAATTAAGTACAGTTAAGAACAAAAACCTGAACTGATGAGAAAGAAGAGTGTCTATTGACAGCAAGGAAGAGCTTTTTATCTTCCGTAATAACACTATCTGTAGTCATTAAAGCAGATTTTGGAACTCTTAGAATAAGTTCTCCCCTCCTAAGATCTCTCACAGCACCCAAACCTCTACTGCAGAATTCTCCAAACAATACAATAAAAAGGGTCAAACTTGTTAACATCAACAAGTCCAAAGCATCAACATTTACACAATTACTATCACGAACAAACCATGGGGGAAAAGGGAAAACACACACAAAAAAAAAAGAGTATTTTTTATTCATTGTGAGTGAAATAGTTATTGTAATAAAGAAAATATATATGAAAAGCGAAGTTTTCATGGTGTACCCGCCAGAGTTAGGAAAGATGGAAACGCATAGAGAATGGCCCAAAGAGGAATGAGAGTGTTGAGATTGGTTTGTGGTTGTTGAATCTGATATTCCAAGCTGTGATGTCCATGTTAGGAAGCTTTCAAAGCTTTGTTGTTCCTGCTCCATCTTCTTTTTCACAAAATCTCTAACCTATTTTTTTCAGAATGTTTACTGGAACTAGTTTTTTATTTTTCGATAAATTTTGATTTTTCTAATGTTATTTATTCAATTCTTTTGGCTCAATTTGTTATTCAATTTTTGAGATTAATTACTATACAATTTCACCACCACCTTAAATTTCTTTACACTGCATCACAGTTATTTAAAAATCTATTTTATAAATAATTAAAATTAAAATTAAATATTATTAAAATTCTAACATAAGGATAAAATTTCTTTACACTGCTGATATATACTAATTAAATTACTCAATTTTTTTATTTGTCTTTTGTTAAAGTTTTATCATGTG